GTGAAATCATCCAGAGAGGTTGCTCGCAATTTTTAAAAAAAATTATATTTTGTACACTTATTTATACATATTTTCATACCATAAAAATATTAAAAAGAAACTGTAATCTGCTCGGTTCTCCCGGTACAGGCGTTTTTATAATGCGAAAAAACGCATTTTCAGCTGAAATGGAGGTTTGCGTTATCTTCCATATCTTGATAACCATTGAAGCTAGAGACTCCAATAAGAAACCAATTTGTTCCCCATGATATGTACTATAAATCATATTGTTATAAGGTTTTACTCAACTCGCTTCCTCTCGGTCTAATTAAGCTCGAAACTTACCTATTGATTTTGGGAAAAATGCTATTTTTGACCTTCAGAAACCAATGGGAGGGGGAAAGTATCAGATCTGTGGTTTCTACCCTTTGTTGTTACCTACATGGGGAATATGATCACATAGTTTTGAACCCCATACCTAGTTTCCAGAATTTTCCAGGAGATTTCAAACTTTGCTCTGGGCCCAAAATCGACCATTTTTAACATCTCATATCTCCGCTGGAGAAGCTCTGAAAATTTTGAAATTCATAGCAAATAATGCTCTGTTGTAGAGTAACTTGGAGATAAAATTACAACTTTGGTATTCAAATTAGAGTAAAGTTGTGGGCACTTTGAATTTTACCAAAAAAATCAACACCTCGATAATTGGCTTACCTGCATCCAGTAGTATTAGTTCTTTGTGTACTCCGTTGAAAATCGTCCAGTTTGTTTGAAAGTAGTTCAGGAATTGTCCACTACCACGATGTCTTCGAAATCATTGGACTTGAATGTTTTATAACACCTGACCGTGTTTTCCTCCAGAGGGACAACCCCGTGTTTTTCTCTTGTATGGGGTACAGTTTTGCAATTTTGGAACCTGCTTTTTAGAATGATTTCATTTCTCGCAACTTCCTCTGTTGGCAAAAAAAAAAGTAAACTATCCCTGAGATATTTTCTGTGCAGAATTTGTACAGTTCTAGCGGGCACATGATTTGATTAAAATGAGTTCTTTGAAGACTGGCTTTCGCTGCTCGCCTCTTCATGGTGCTGCCAGTACCGTCACAGGCATTCTTCCCATGCGAGGTGGCAAAAAAAATCCATTCTGCTTCAAGTCCGAAGTCTTCATAGTGATGACATAAATTGGAGAGATTCTTTTTGTTCTTATATTGGCTTCCAGCGCTATCACTGAAATAAATCACTTTCCTGACTGAAGGCACATTTTCTCTTATATCGGTGATAAGATATTTTTGGAACACATAAACTGTGGTTGTATCATGCTTTACATGATCACTGATTATACACAAGCTTTGGCATTTTGTTATATTGTCCGCCTTGTAGTAATACACAAATGGCTAAAGTGTAGCCTGTTGATTTACCCAGTGGAAACTTTGAATCTCATCTTGTACGAGAAACGAATAGTTTTCTGCAAAATCTGCAAGAACGAGGCACTATGTTTCGTCCAGGCTTTCCCTCGTTTCTTTCAAATACTGCAACTTAATTTTAGCCACGTAATGATGTTTTTTCAGTTGCGTCAGTTTTTCAATTAGAGATTCGCAGAATTCACTGTAACGTTGCGTAACAGAAATCATGTTAGCTCTGTCTGTGTTGACCCATTGTTTGTAGACTATTTTATCGGACATGCTCTCTGATTTGGCTGATAGCAATTCCGTCAAAATTTCTTCTCCAGGGCAGTCTGCGCATTCATTACTCATGCACTGATAACTTTCAATGTCACAAACCATTACATGTAATAAATCTTTGTAGTCCGAATTCAATTTTGCTCCATCTAGCATCAGCTTAACATTTTGGTGATAGCTGCACACACAAACGGTATGAGTCCCCAATGCACCAGCAATGATACACCACTTTGGTCAAAGTACACAAAATTTGGAAAACCAATTTTGTGTTCAGGTTGAGTATTCTTAAAGTGAATGTAAGGTTCCTTCAAACTGCATAGTATCAGGCGTTTCTGCATACCCTCTTTGATACCTCCCACATTGACACTCACACAATCCTTTTTTTCCAGGGCAGATCCTGCTGTTTTCATTGTTTTCTTAAAATTCCGTGACAGCCTGAATTGTTTCGTCACTAACTGTCTGGCCCCGCCTTTTGCCCAAATCCGGAAGGATCCCTTGCGTCTGCTGAAGCACTCGAGTAATTCTAACCAAGCGCTCAGAAACTTGAAATTCTTGACTTATCTTCTGTCTTGACCACGAAGTTGGCAATAAGCTAATGATTTTAATTTTTTCTTCTTTGCTTGAGATTTAACATTTCTCCTTTAATTTGTTAATCAACAAATCATACTCCTCACTTAATGCAAAGAAAGGTATTTGTTCATCTGAATCAAGATCCATCGAGTCATCTCAAAATGAACTCACTAATTTCCTTCAAAGAGAGTCGGATATGCTTCTACATTTTTTTGATAAAGCAGTGGGTCTTTTCCCAGTATTCATCTTCATAATTTTAGTCATAGGAGAAATATCTAAAGCTGAACATACTGCTTCTGATTCTGCCAGATTTTCTTGCATAGGTGCAAACTCGTTCCTTCCAGAACCACTACTGCCCCCACTTATGGTTTCTTTAAGAACAAAAATCTTTGTGTAACGATTAGGACACAAGGATTTACCTGGTACTAGAGCTACCAGAAAATTCTTTTCTTTCTTCAGATGTTCTAATGAAATTTCACGTAAACCTTTCTTAATGGTTCATTTGTGCACTTTTAGCAGGTCACAACAAATATTTCCAAACAGATGATTGTATTTAACTGAATACTTAATCTCATGATGCTTGCATATGGAACTCAAGTTGCATTCACCCAGTCTTAACTTTAAAACAGTTTGTTTCTCTTCACTCAATTCACTCACAAACGTTAGCTGTTTGTTGATGGCACCATACGTAGTCTTACGACACTCTTCACGTGTGACAATACCTATAGAACATTCCATTTCACAAAGTTTTTACTTTCGACTTGGAGAACACCGAGCTCGATACACCTGAAAGATCTACAGTTGCTGAACATACACTGACTTACAGTTGGAGACAACATTCATGTGAATGCTTCATCCATACGTAAAGCTGCTGAGAAAGCAGCCCAACACTAACATCATGATTACAGAAATTTGGGTTCAGATGTCAAAACACACGAGGCAGGCGCGAAATAAGAAACCTACATCCATGTTTATAGCCAGCTAAGAACCGAGTGTTGATAACATGTCATTCCAAGCAGTAAGTACAGGCCTGAAAATGATTTTAGTGACAAACAATAGATCTCTCGTCTTTTATACCGAATAAAGAACCACCAATACCATTGGATGCAGGTAAGCCAATTATCGAGGTGTTGATTTTTTTGGTACAATTCAAAGTGCCCACAACTTCGCTCTAATTTGAATATCAAAGTTGTAATTTTATCTCCAAGTTACTCTACAACAGAGCATTATTTGCTATGAATTTCAAAATTTTCAGAGCTTCTCCAGCGGAGATATGAGATGTTAAAAATGGTCGATTTTGGGCCCAGAGCAAAGTTTGAAATCTCCTGGAAAATTCTGGAAACTAGGTATGGGGTTCAAAACTATGTGATCATATTCCCCATGTAGGTAACAACAAAGGGTAGAAACCACAGATCTGATACTTTCCCCCTCCCATTGGTTTTTGAAAGTCAAAGTAGCGTTTTTCCCAAAATCAGTAGGTAAGTTTCGAGCTTAATTAGACCTAGAGGAAGCGAGTTGAGTAAAACCTTATAATAATATGATTTATAGTCCATATCATGGGGAACAAATTGGTTTCTTATTGGAGTCTCTAGCTTCAATGGTTATCAAGATATGGAAGATAACGCAAACCTCCATTTCAGCTGAAAATGCGTTTTTTCGCATTATAAAAACGCCTGTACCGGGAGAACCGAGCAGATTACAGTTTCTTTTTAATATTTTTATGGTAAGAAAATATGTATAAATAAGTGTACAAAATATGATTTTTTTTTAAATGGCGAGCGACCTCTCTGGATGATTTCACATGGAATGGCCCATAAGTAATTGTAGTTACGATCTGTAGGTTGTTAAATAAACCAATTAACAATCTGAACGGCGTCTTCAATGGCAAAACATGTTACATTATTGAGAACATTAAATGCTCTGTCAATTTGACTGTGCGTTGCAAACTTGCATGTGCTTTTCAGCAATGCAGCATGTGGCTATTAAAGGTTAAAGGAGCATACATTCTTATTATTACAAACAGCTGGCTATTCACAGAATACAGTTTGTGTGCGAGTACCATGAAGGTGTAAGGTGTAAGTTGGAATAGAATGCCGCTCATTTTACCCATTAGGGAGAGTTACTATAGTTGTGTCTGAATCACTGATTTGCTGATGAACCTAACTGAACAGAAACAATGTCTTCTTTATACCTGATGATGACAGAAAGATCCAATTTCTGAAGCACTATATTTCAGAAATTTCAGGACCGTGACCAATATAAAAAATAATGGTCATTGTGTGTTGCTTAGTGTTAAATTAGAATACAATTATATGCAGTTGCAATACAGTAAACGCTTGCTAATCCAGAGTAATTNTGTGGGGGGGGGGGTTTCCATCTGGATCAGTGAAGAAAAAAATAGCCCTAAAAGACAAGAAAACTTAGAACACAAAGAAATGGAGAATTTAATTATATGAGTAGTTCTGATGACAATAAATACAAAAATATCACATTGAGCCTTTATTTAAAAACTGTAAAAAGACAATACATTTATTCATCGATTGAAGACCCGAAATTTTGATTGTTTTTGAACATAATAATGCAGGTTTGAAGAAACTGTCAAGTTTTGTCCGAACTAACAAGTGACTCATCTGTCTCCTAAATTATACATACTCATCTGTGAACTGCAATTTTCATATTTTGATTCAGATTATCCAACATTGGAGTTAACTATAACCGGATTAGCGAGGGTTTACTGCACATAAATTGTAAAATTATATGGCACGTTGCCAACAGACCATTGCGGGATGACCGTAGCAGCGAAGAGAAACCAGCAGTTGCTACTCCTGCACCACGGTCTCGTACCAGCAAGTGGCGGGAATCCCAGGAAGAACGACGACGTCAGCAAGTGCAGACCAAACTTCAAGTTCTGTTATTTCGCCATAAGGAACTGCTCAAGAAAGACATGATTAAGAAACGGGCACTGCTGGAGAAAGAGCTTCAGATAGAGATTCAGGTAAGAAAAATGATTACATGGAATATTTGCCTATTTATCATGCGTTAGATAAGGGTGTGGGCCTGCATGCAGAGGTTACCCACAGACATACCCACAAAGTTGAACCAAAATGTTATGTACTGTGTGTAGTGTGATATTCTCTGAAAAGATGGTGCTAGTCACATTGAATGTCAGGGCTGCCAAAGGAAATGATAGTGGAACAGCATATATACATTTTTTTGTGCCCCACTGTATATTTTAGACATTCTGTTACAGCTTGAACCATACAGTTGATATACTGAGCCTGCATTACAACCAGCTTTTCATCAGAATGGCAGAACCAAGAGTGATATGTTGGGTTTGGTTCTAAGTATGCACTCTGTTAGCCTTTTTCATCTCAACGTAAGATACTTAACCATTTCAATGGTATTCCCAGAACCTCTCTGTGATTCAGCGTCTGTGTTCATTCGGTACATGCTGTTGGCCTCACTGCAGACCTGTGTTTCTTCCCAATGTTTGCCCAGGCTGTGTGACAGGTCTATGGTGTCTCATGTTTCTCAGAAGATAGATAGCAGCACCAAATGGAGTCATTTGGCATGGCTTTCTGGTAGCAGTAATGATGCATGTTAAATCCTTGGCTGCTACAGATGTTGTAATTGGTTGGGTGTGCTGAACTATTTCCGTGTGGTGTCATAACAGTATGATGCTCAGCTATGAGGGCAATACTGCAGTTTCAGGTTTCTTGTGGGGACAGTGGATTTGAATGTTAAACTAAGGAATGCATTAAATTGAAGAACTTTAAATGGCTGTTACATTGCATTTGCTCTCAAAATATATATATATATATATATTGTACAGTCGGACCCCTGTATGAACCACTAAATGATGTTCCCACCCATTGAACAGTGCACCTCTAAGTGTGTACCCTGTGAAGCGCAGTATTTGGAAGCAGTTCAGTGCTTTTAACAGCGCTGTCTGTAACTTAAATGTACACTGTGAATGATGGTGAATAATGAATTGGGAAGGTTGTGGAAGGAAGTGACCATGGCCTCTTTAAGGCATCAGCATAGCATTTTCCTGATGTAACTGAGGAGAACATCAAGAAATTTCAGTCTGGATAATTGATGTCCTGGCTGAGGTTTGAACTGGGCACTTCCAAAATATAATTCAGAAACAAGTTCAGTATGAAGTGGAACTGCACGAATGACGTATATCTCTGTATACTATACTCACAATAAGTGAGAAAGTTATCTCAGGTGTTAATGGTTCTCACTGGTATTTGGTAGGTGCCTGGTTCGAACCTCAGCTGGAACACCTGTCCTGACTTAAGTATTTCATGATTTTCCTCTACCTCCAAGCATGTGGCAGGATATTGTCTTACAGTAGGCCACAGCACGAATATTCCACATGCTTTCCAGGTCATCATTCATAAATCGCTTCATCATGTGACTCTGTATAGCTTGGGCCACTGAAAATGTGGTCATGTACAGAACAAGCAAATAAGATTTGAGGTTTTCATGGTGGTGACTACTAAGATGTCAAGCTGTATAGATCTTATATGAACCAACGTTTCGGAGGAACGTGTCGCCAGCATCTTCAGGGTAGAAAAATCTGCAAGCGAGGAACAAGTATGAGCAGGTAGCTGCAGATTTCTTGCTCATGGTTTCTTTCGACCCTGAAGATGGAGGCAGTACGTTTCTCTGAAACGTCAGTTCACACGAGATCTGCATGGTGGCACATCCCAGAAGATGGCATTCTTAACAAGTAAATAGAATTATTACATCATATATATCGTCATGTGATTGAGTGACTACAGACATGGTTTGGATTGATAATTGAGTTTATTGAACATTTGCAGAATGTAACTACAAATAACTATGACAGTCTCACTGAGTTACACATTCCAAAGATCACTGTAACTATGTGTACAGCACACATATATTCTTCTCAGACTTCGCTAGTCACATCCAACGGCAGACGTTCTGCTTCCTCTGGGTTCCTGAACTGTCCCTGGCCTCATCTCCCAGCTTCTGTCTTCTCACAGCTGCAACCCTCATAACGGACTCAACCACAGCTGAACTACTGGTCCTCGTTATATAGCACCAGCACAAACTGCACTGAAAACATCTCTTCCATTGTTATATATTCTCTTGTTGCCCCGGAAACAGTGTGCCCACATAGCTGTTCCATAGCAACAGCTGTTGTACTGTCATCTGTTTACACAGCTGGTACTTGGCAGTGGGCCTGCATGTCGCAATATACAAAATGTTAGGCCATGTCTAACGTCAGGTAGAGGCACAGGCTTCTTGCCCCCAGAGCCTTGGGTTCAGTCCTGGGTCTCATAATGTGAGATTTTGGATGGATGAAATGTCATGAGCAAGTTTTCTTGCAAGTTTATTCAGTTTTCTCTTGTTAGTTCTTATTTTACCGCTGCTCCATATTCACCCATCTCTACCTTAGAGGTGTGCAGTAGCCTTATGACCAGGCGGCACAGTGCCGCTTGTCTTACCCAGTATCTGGCTGGTTGCAGAGTGAAGATAGGCGTAATGTATAAATTGTAGCTTCCCTGTCAGTTACCTGCCTCACGCCTCACGGAGAATGCCCAAAACTGTCTTGAACACCACATAGCTTTAAACAAGTGGTCAACGCCCCTTACGAGGTGGAATAGGATTTTATGAATGATTTCAATAGAAAATTTTAATCAGATTTGTGTAATTATTTTAAGTGGATGTCAACGCGCAATTTTGGCACACATCAAGGCAGTGTAACAGTTTGAATGCCAAAAGATGTTCTGCAATTTATTCTTTGCCAGTACATACTGAGCCATAGCTGTTAAAGCAATGTGCAAGAAGAGATTTGAGCCCACATTTCCAGTCTCTCTTAAATTACAAGAGTGAATTTTAATTTCATAGTTCAAGTGATGTTCCCCTTCCTTAAAGTTGTAGCTACTGTACATTGTGGTACAGACAGAGAAAGTAACTGTATCACAGGTGAAGAATGGGCACTTTTGCCAGTCTATTAGGAAATGTGTATCTATATTTGTTTTGGAAATTATTATTATTGAAATGCTGAAATATGTAGTGTTTAAGGTTTCTGTGTTGTAAACTGCAGAAAGATTTGTCGACTGAGTTAGCTGCTCGGACAAAAGCAGAAAGAAATAAGCAGGATGAAGTGAGGACAGGAAGTGGGAAACGGAAGTCTGCACCAGTCTCAGCATCCACCGTGAGTCCCCCATCAGCTTCCCGTGGTGGCGGGCGACCTAGGAAGCAACAGCGGACCTCCTCAGGTCCTCCAGGCAGTGGTGGAACAGCACTGGGAGGGGGAGGAGGGGGTGGCAGTGGAAGGAAGAAAGAAAAACTGTACTGCTTGTGTAGGACTCCTTATGACGAGACAAAGTGAGTGTTATGCCATATTTACTCAGTAATATCCTCCCCTCTGTCATTTTCAGTTGTTCAGTTTCCACGGCTGGTGACACAAGTCTGCCCCTTACTGATGTCTGTGATGAGATGGTATTTGGATGGACATCTTCACTTCCTCTGAGCAGGGAGGAGCTGCACAGACAGTGGAGTAGTTAGTGTGCTGTTTTCCTGTAATTCATAGATGAAGGGTATAAATGGTAATTGCTTTTCACTGGACAGTGTCTTAAGAGAGGCTGCCTGAAGTGGAGAAAGATGCACACCGGCTTGATCTGCATTGCATTTTAGGTGTGATCGGTTACATGTATGTTTTTAGGTTCTACGTGGGCTGTGACCTCTGCAACAATTGGTTCCATGGGGAGTGTGTTGGTATTACAGAGGAGATGAGCAAGTCTCTCACAGAATTTGTCTGTACAGAATGCCGTCATGCTAGGGACACCCAAGAGCTATATTGTCTCTGCAAGCAGCCTTATGATGAGTCTCAGTAAGTACCAGTAATACTCTTAGATTGTTGTCTGCTGGATTATGCTCTTGCTCTCTGACTGAACAGGTTTTTCTAATGATAATGCCTCACGCCTGTATACTGAAGGTGCTTGGTTTTGAATCAAGTTGGGACACTTGTAATAATCACTGAGGTTTTTTATGATATTCCTTGGTCCAAGCAAAATAATTCAGGTACAGTACCTCAGGTTGTGCCCACTTCCAGATACTTTCCAATACCTCTGTCATCATACCATTTATCGCAGGATTGTCCGAGATACTGAAAGCATTGTAAAGTAACATTCTGAATGAAGAGGAAGACACCATGTGGTCTGGTAGGTAATTATCATTTTTGAGGTATTTGCTGCTTTCTTCATGTACCATGATCCTGGAGACAGTATTTTTCTCTGAAAGATTCGTAATCTTATACCAGACTGCATAGTATCATAATCCAGAAGACCAAAATCTAAATTTTCACCGCTGTGAAAACGTAAAATCCCAAAAGTAGAGTGCAGCACAGATGATCCAGGGTTGCCGAACATGCATTGGATAGAAAGCAAGGCTGTAATTTTCCAGTGCACTGCACAGAATTTATGTTTGCATATTGAATCATATGATCCTTGGGAATGTTTTCTTGTTCACCTCATTTGGCTTTTCTCATCCTGTTACTGCTAGTGTCATTTTCAATCCAGTCTCTTCTATCTCTCTACCATCTTTCTCAGTTTCTTGCCAGCTCTTTCCTATTTCCTTACTGCCTTACAGTACCTGGCTAAACCTCCTTGTCCTCAGCCATCTCACAGGTCTCCTTGCTTTAGATTCTAATGCCCTTCTGTGTATCATTCTGTCATTTTACATGGCCCAGCCAATGTATGTGTTTTTTCATCTAACTCTACAAAATTTGGAATTACAAATTCTTTTTAAGAATTCCATTTCTAATTTAATCCCTTCTTGTTTATCCCTCACTTTTCCTCAAAAATCTCATGTCTGTTGCTTAGATTTAATTTTGTTTCTCTTACTACATTTCCATTTCCAAAGTCTGCAAATATTAATGAGAATGTATTTCAGATATATTTGCATCATACTGAGGCAACAGATAGAAGTCTCATGGAAAGGCCCTCTCACCTCCCAGGGGTCTGTTATGCTTCCCCCTCCAGCACACTTCACTTTATTAACCTCTAGTCTCTTAGTCATTTTTTTAAACAAGAATCTTTGTAGTGATAATCGTGCAATGACTTTCTCTAGTATTTAACATCTAAAAGTTTGTGACGATGGTATATTAACCTTTATCGGACGGGCCATTTAATTTCCGGTAGGGGCAGCTGGACGGAGTTTATTTAAATGCCCGCCCTTCTAGAGCAATGAAATTGTAAGCATGTTTCTAAAAATGGTGTGATTTCTACATTTTTTATGATAAACGAACGAAATGAACGCTCCTTTAATGTAGAAAGAATATAGAATCAGATATTCTAATTTACAGATTTTAATATCTGTAAAAAATTTTTACACTGATTCCCAAAATAAAATTTCCCGAAATTCATACATTTTCTGCACCATGCGTTCTAGCAGTGTAATACATTTTCTGCACCATGCGTTTTAGCAGTGTAAGTCCTTGTGGCGACTTCACATTCAATCGTATCTCTTGTTGTAGCTTATTTATCGTATGGGACATGTCGCTATGCACGACTGTTTACGTCTGAAATTCCTCGCTGCCTAATGTGTTAGATAAACACAGAAGTTACTTCTCGGAATATGGTGTTGCCAGATCGGTAATTCGTTCATTCATTGCAGTCAAACCATTGTGTTTGTAACGATTTTGAAACATCGCAATATAAGGTTAGCCACCCATGACATCATGAAGCAGATATTGGGTTCAGAGAAGTCGTGAATGAGATTTTTGTATGTGTGGGCTCGAGGTTAAGATTTATGGCTTCTTATCGTGGTCTAAGCACAGAGATTCACTGCTAGCACTGCTAGAGAGCCGTATACACTACGACGTCGTATGGAAAATGCTGAAATGAGACACAGATTCGGACTGCTATTCAAACGATTCTGAATGTGGCGTGGAAGGTTGGTCTTCTGATGCCTAAAATTGAGAAAGAGCTGTTCAATGACACAGATTATGATAGGGGCGAGCAAAGTTGGAATTCTGATTCCGCGGACGACGGGTCATCACCTTCGTCGGCAACTTGGGGACCGCCAGACCAGTGTGGCTGGAGAGGTGTGAATAATTATTCCGGTGTAGCTGCGGGGATAAATATCACTGCAGCTCGACATCACTGGCCTGCTTCCTCTAAATCGCAACTGAGGTGTCGTGTGTGCTTTTCGCGTGGGAAGCGGTCTAGCGTTCGTACGAAGTGCGTGAGCTGCGACGTCGGACTCTGCATTTCGGAATTTTTTCGGCAGTACAATACGAAGGCCACATTACCATAGATGACGCAGGGGGGAAGGCTGTTTCCTCATGAAGATGGTGAACATATATCACATAAGTAGAGCAAAAATTTAATTTTAAAAAAATCTTTACACGCGTACAATGCGCGAAATCGTATGAGGTCATTCGGCCATATGACGTCGGTAGATTACATTAGATCACGCAGGAGGGAAGGCTGTCACCTTATAAAGGATGTGACCAAAAATTATGTAAATAGAAGAACAATTTATATTTTAAATTTAATTTTAAAAAAATCTTTACACGCGTGGAATGCGCGACATCATATGATGTCGTTCTTAAATTTGTCCTTACTTTTAACGTCATATGACGTCCCTAGATTACATTAGATCATGCAGGAACGAAGGCTGTCTCCTTATAAAGGTGGTGACCAAAAATCATGTAAATAGAACAACAATTTATATTTTTAATATAATATTAAAAAAAACCTTACACGCGTGGAATCCGCGACATCATATGATGACGTTCGGCCAGCTGCCCTAACTTTTAACGACATCATATGATGACGTTCGTCCGATAAAGGTTAATACAGCCGTTGTATTTCTGGACATTATCCATTGTCCTGTTTTTATTTAAAACACAACATTTTGGAAATTCTGGAATCCACCCACATGTCTCATCATCCTATCAGTCAACCCAAGTTGGACATCTCTCCCATCTGGACTGCCATTATCGCAAGCAGAAGCAGAAAAAGAGAGAGAGACTACAACTCTGTCCAGTGTATATTAAGTGGGAAAATTGTGTTTCTTATGTTGGTAAATGTTCATCTTAACTCTCGCAGATGGTTTGTGCTGTGCTTGGTTTATATATCCTATCTTGTGTTTGTGCAGGTATCTCGTGATACGGACTAGCTCTGTCTACTGGTCCCAACTGAGTAGGTTCTGTATGAAGACAGGGACAGAATCCAGTCTCTGAAACATTGTATTTTAAATAAAAACAGAATGATGGATAATGTCCATAAACACATTAGTTGTGTTCTGTAGTATTTTTGTCTGAAAGATCTCTGAGAGTGTGTCATAGTTTGAGAAGTCAGCCTTATGGAAAAGAAAAAACCCTGTGTTCAATGAGATCTGAGGCACTGCAGTTTCATTTCCCATTGTGTGTTAAAAATAAGATCTGGTAACTTTCCAATGACGTTATTTGCTGTATCAGTGTCCGACAGTGATGCATCCTCAACATGCTTTAGGCACAGTGTAACAAGTGCTTTGGGTTGGTTTGTATGACCAAGAGGAAAATACAACAATAGGCATATCGAGGAAGCCACTGTCCGTGGTCCTTCCTTCTGTGGTCTCAGTATAGATAATGCGTGTTTATCCTTTGCAGGTTCTACATCTGTTGTGATCGCTGTCAGGATTGGTTTCACGGACGCTGTGTTGGAATTCTTCAGTCAGAAGCAGATAACATTGATGAATATATCTGTCCAAATTGTCAGCGTAATTCCAATATTAATTTTGCTAACATGAAAAATCTCAATGCTAAGGACTTTGAAGGTCTGAGAAAACTTATTAAGCAGTTGCAGGTATAGTATGACTTCATAAGGTTTGAGGTTTACCATTGGGATGCATAATGACTGACAGTGCTCTGAATGCACATAATTTGTTTCAGAACCATAAAAGTTCTTGGCCCTTCATGGAACCTGTAGACCCAGATGAGGCTCCTGACTATTATGGAATCATTAAGGAACCAATAGGTACGTGATGCTTACAGTTTTGTGACGTACTTTCCAGTGCCGTCTCTGTCTAGAATATGTAGAATTGAACAGTAGGATGTTTGCTGGACGTTGAATTGGGAAGGATGTTGAAGGACAGAGTCATAGACTTTCCAGGATACTATCCCAGGGAAGGACTGAAGAAGAAAAAGATGAGAGGCTTCAGTCAGGATAACTGGTATCCCAGTTAAGATTTGTGCGGAGCATGAGAGTTACCACCATCCATATGGATCCGAGCTCTGCGTGTCCTCACATTTGGGCACAACAAATGGTTCATGTCTAATTTAGTCTCGCTTTGTTTCTCGCTGTGTCTGTATATGTTGTATGGAAATGAAGATACATACTTGTGTCCTTTTGTGTTCGTAAGCAGAGCAAATCTTTGGAATGTTCTCTTTGCACAGTTAGATACATGTCTTTATGCTTGGTATGATGAATTTTCAAAGTAACATCTGCGCTTGAACTTAGAGTAATATAAAAATAATTCTCTTTGCTCTGAATAAAGAATGTTGGCATTTTTAAAGACAGTCATTTGTTTTGTCGTAAGTAATTCAAATGCTATGCAGCTGCAGTGGAGATGAAAATTTTGAAAACTACACACTCAGTATTTTGTACACTGAAAGATTAGATGCTCTGTAGTGTGGTAAGAAGATAGCAACATTCTGGACAAACTTTGCTACCTCCATCTTCAGCGTACTCTGGAGATGAAGGTAGAATATTCTGCCAAAACATCAGTGTCGTTGTGCTAAATTACCTGGCGTCACTTCCCAGATGCTGGTAATCTTCATTCAGTGCCATCAGAACTCATAGCTCTGACATTTTCTGCATTACCGGTAACTGATGCCCACACACCAGACGCTTAACGTTAGGACCTGCATATTTCTGCATGCATCTTGAGCATAATTTACTGAGTATTTATGAAAACAATGAAATTTTAAGCAGAAAGTTGTAGTGAAAAATTTAATCCGCATTATGTACCAATTAACGTTCCTTTTGTAATTCCAGTTTTTAAAAAAAAAATTATTATTATACTACTATGAGAAGTCTAGTGGCAATAACAGAGTGAATTTTTAGAATTTTTACATTATGCATATATTTTCTAATTTGTTTCTTCTTTTCCAGTTGTATTGTAAAACTTTCATAATAAAACCTTATCATACGATCGGTTTTCCATTTTCTCTTGCATTTCCAGTGTGTGATATGTAACACATCATGATTTTATTTCAAGGGTATTACTATCTGAAAACCAATAACATGTTTCTCGTAAATGAAACTTCTTCTCTTTGACCAGATCTGCAAACGATTGAACTGAGGATTAACAAAAGGTCATACAGGAAATTAAGCGAATTCATAGGAGACATGACGAAGATGTTTGACAATTGTCGTTACTACAACCCCCGTGATTCGCCATTTTTCAAGTGTGCAGAGTCTCTCGAGGCCTATTTCGTCCAGAAAATTAAGTGTCTACGTGAGAAGTTAGTGGAGAACAAATGAACGGCAGGCTAATCGTTGCAAGAACCAGTGTGTTTTTCAAGTGACTGAAGGGTGCCGAGTTCCTTCAAGGTGGTTTTCTGTACAGTTCTGTATTAATTGCTTGCATGGAAGGAATACGTGTGAAATATTTTTGGCATGACCTACACGTAACATCATGTATGCAACCAAACTGAATAACTACTGTGTGGAATGTTTTCTTTTTCTATCATGGAGTCTGTTATTGAAGATCAAGTGATACAGTGACTACCAATAAGAAACTTGATTTTTGACCATCTTTGTTGAACTTGAAAATGAAATAAGTATAATTGTATGTATTTGTAGATACAAGATTCAAAATAATGAATTCTGATTACATTTAAAGAATTTGTTACTAAGAGAAGTGACCTGTATTTTAATAACAGTACAAGAAACCCACCTTGGCCTCTGCATTTCATGTTATCTTACTAGGTAACGAGGTCCCATGGGATTATATCCATTGGCCACGACTGTCGTGGCTTGTATAAGCAAGTTCTCTGTTATCGGACTACATGTGTGCTGTAATTGATACATGGTGTTCTGCCAATTTTTACCATCAGCTCTCATTTGGGTGAGCATTTTAAGAGAATAAGAGTGTGTTAGACTATTTGTAATATTGCCTGTAGCGTACTCTTCATAGAAGTATAAACAAAAATACAGATGTCCCTTCTTTCATGTGTGTCACAGTGTTTATTCCTTAAAGCACCTCTAAGCAATGAGACATCAGATCTTCAGTCTGTAATTTAGATGCATATTCTTATAGATTTTTCCACTAACACTATTTCAGGAATGCCATCATCACTTGCATTGTAAATAGCAGTGACCATGCTAAGAGGACTGTCATGGATTTTATTGTTTTTTTTCCACTTGTGAAACTATTTGTATGTAAATGTAAATTAGAGCTAATATTTGTTATCTGTCATTTGCATGCTGTGCAGTAATGTCCATAGAACCTATGTTTTTTTGCAGTATTTTGAATGAATGTAAAAAAAATTCCTCAGCTGTCCTGACATATTTATTTTCCTGTCCCTCAAGTCTATGCCAATAAATAGGATTCTGTGTGACGCATATAAGAATATTGTCACAGGCAGTGTTTTTCATTTAGGAGCTAACACTGGCAGCACAGTTCAAGAATTGGAACAAAAAGAAAAAGTACAATAAAGAATATCACAAAAGATTTGAGAAAAGTGCACTCTTGTGAATGGTGACCTAATTTTCCATATATTAGCCCCTGTGAATCTGCCGTGAACAAATTGCTGTAGTCGGGGGTATTTGTTTTGGCCAATCAGGTTGAGTCCATCCTGTAGGGCTACCCCTTACTGCCTTACTCCAGCCATAATCTCAAAGAGGACAAGAAATTGGAGGGGCATGTGAAGCAGTAATGTACTTCACTGGCCACAAGAAATGCCCTCGACTGTACTTGGCTCCCATGTGCGAGGGGAGTGTACACTTTCTGTGCTTATACATATAAAATTAATATGTGACATGAGATTCCTACGTAGTTTTTGGGTGACTGGGCCATCAAGACTTCTGATATGTTGCAGGGTGCCTCTTGCTGCATCATACACAGGCAGCAAGTTCCCTCTGAATATTACAGTGCTATCATACACAATCATCCAAGAAATCATTAGTCCACCATGTATGAATTTATTTTATAATAAAATCAGTATATTTGTAATTTATTCATAGGTGTTGCATTTCTTTGTACACGTATGTATGCACAATGTTTTGATAGCCATGTGCTTTAATACAGTTCATCACCAACATACTTGAACTTGAAGTTAGTCCAGTTTCACATGATTTTTTAATTTAATTTTTAATTTTTTTTTTTACCGAGCACCTCTCCTTGAAGACGTGGGAAGTGAAAATGTGGCCTTGCGATGGAGCGCTCTAATTGAGGTGCGTTCGCCTATTAAATTCGTTCTATACGTCCGTCTGTATGCATGAAAGTTGACTACCGCTTAATTGATTTTCATATTTCTTACTGGAAAGTTTAATCATAATTTGTCGACATTGTATATATAAAATAAATTTTGCATGAATGGGGTAAAAAATAACAGACCTTTACATGATGACCTACACTTTTTTATGGGCGTACCTTGAGCGTAATTTGCTTTTTATCAGAACGAAACACATTAAGGGTAAAAGCTGTAGAAACAAAAATCAAGTTGTATTTCCAGTGCACCTCTTCCGTAGGTCTTGCGATTTTCGAGATGGTTAAACAAATTTAAATCAATGAGCTAGAACTGTTACGCTATGTTCATATTAGACACGTTAATTACATAATTTCAGATGCTGCAGGCACTTCTTCCTCTCGTCTGCAAAGATTAGCATGCCCATCAGACATATTCACGAATCTTACATGGCACAAATTTCTTAAGAGTGAAAGGAAGTCCACATAACTTCAAATAAAATTCTATGATCCCCAGCGGGTTATTACAATGGTAGCACTCCATGCTTGTATTCGAGAAATACCTGCTTTGAATTTTGGCTGTTACCAGGTTATTTTGAGAGCTGGGATAGCCCAGTGGTACAGCGACGGGCCGACCGGCCGGGGTTCGATTCCCGGCAAGGGCGAGAGATTTTTCTATTCTCCACAGCATCCAAAGCAGCTCTGAAGCCCATCCAGCCTATCAAATGGGCACTGCTGCCATTTTCCACGGGGAGTAAATTGGCCTAGACATGAAGCTGACCACTCACCTCCATCTATCGCTGAGTTCATGAATGATGGAGCTGTACCTCCACTGCTCCATTCGTCTTTATGCCTTTGTCAACTTTTACCTTACCGAAGATTCTAAGACGTATTTTTCGTCAACTTCGTGCTCCCTTATACCCTGGGAGGTGTAGAGGTTGCCTTCCACAGTCTACTCATAACCGAACACCACCCTCCAGTAAACATCACTCTTTGTTCATACTCAGCAAAAATTGCCATTACAATAACATTACATGTAGATATAGCTATCAGAAGAACTACTGACATCGTTTTTGGTTTTCCACATTTGAGATATCGATCTACATTTTTATTATTGCAGTATATTATAACAGTATGTAATCTCTCTTTCTTATCAACAGTTCTGGAACTATACAGTGAAATAGCTCTATCTCAGAAACCATTTGGAATAGGACACATACATATACACTTTTTCCCCTAGAATTACCAATACTGTAACCTCCCAGAATACTGACCTTTCCTCCTGGGACACCCTGTTCAATCTACCTATTGGTGTCAAGAAAATCTGGGTACCCATCTTACAACTTGCGGTATGTTAAATTTTAATCCTTTCATACAAAAACGGTGGGTGATACACAGCTTTCAAGCTCATATTCAAATTCAGCTCATGAAAATGTACCAGAATCATAATTTCTCTTTAACAGAGAAAAAGCTGTTCATACAGTGTAATCTGCCTGTCTGAATGATGTGAATCCATACATCAACCTTAACAGGACATGGATTTTGTAAATACTTAGAATGGGTGTTGACTGGGAAAAAAAACTCATGCACATTTATTTTGGATACTGTACAGATTTCAACATACTCTTAAGTCCTTCGTGTTATAAATAAGATAATAGTGAAAAGTTGCTTGAACGAATCTAAAAACACATATCACCCAACATATATGACAGCTGCGTTTCCAACAGCGGTTAACTATAAATCCTGCAACTAACAGCTCACTTTGTTAACTGCCTTTAATTTTCAATGAAAAATATTAAATTCAACTCACTTTTAATACCATTTACTTTAACCACTTCACAAATTCCTGGAAGCTCAGGAGACCACTGTAGGTTGCGGTGCAAGGGCCGAGAAGGATCACCCCTTAATACATTCATAACAGATTCCTTGTATCAGATAAATAATTTGAAGACAGCTCCGTCTTTGCAAAAAAAAAAAAAAAACCCATCATATGGGCTCAGAAGGGTTCAATTTTTGACAGGGAAAGTGACTCTCTTCTCCAGCGTCCACAGATTGCTCTGGAGCCCACCTAGCCTTGTACACAATGAGTCGTTCTGTATGCCACTCTTTCCTTGATCGTATATACTGAGAATCGCGAGGCAGTGAGATTTTCTTTAAGATTTCCGCCTTGTGTTGCCGTGCTGTTTGGTAGATAGGTGTCAGCGTTTCAGAGAAACTCCTACTTTCATTTTCAGGATAGAAGAGTGATTGTGAGGTTGTGTAATTTAGTAGATACCAACGTTTGGGGGGGATCTCCAGTCTTCCATATTCGTTGTAGAACAGTGAGGTGTCTCACATGTATGTGGAAACATTTCAGGGCTGAACATTGTATTTTATGTCGTATAGTCTGTTAAGCGCCCTAGCAGGAACGGACATTTAAACGCAGAGTAGGAGCAGGTNGATATAGAACAAGCCAAAAGAATACCAATTGGTACAGGTAATTTTATCTTAAACTAATATAGCTTAATTCTACATTATTCTCTGTTTACATTGAGGTATTCGTCTACAGACTAGAAGGAATGAGCATGCAGATAATTCTTTAGCTCTGATTTAAAATGTTTGGTATCATTACTCAAGTTTTGATACTTTGTGGGAGACATTTGTACACTTTCATGCCAGAAAAGTAGACTCTTTTGATATAGTGATAAGTTTGATGAAGGTAGATGGAAGTATTTTTGTCTAGTACTCATGTTATAGATATTGGAATTTAATTCAAATTTATTTTTGTTGTACACAACAAATAAGAGAAGTGCTAGCATGTATTGTGATTGAAGATGTAGAATTTCTAATTTCGAAAACAAATCTCTAAATGAATCTCTACGTCTACGTAATGTAATGATTCTAATTATATTCTTTTGTATCTTAAATATTTTTACATTATGTGAAGAGTTACCCGTAGTTCATAATAGAATAAAAGTAGGCATGGTAAACCATCTCCAGTCTTTCCTGTGGCATAAAGGGCTTAACCAATTTCATTACATAGCAAGCTGCACTTAGTTTAGGTATAGTTTGTTCCATATGTATTTTTGAAGACAGTGTACTGTCTACATGTATTCCAAGGGATGTTGTATCAGGTGCTTTACAGATTAATTTGTTGGCATAACTGATGACCAGATCGTGTTAATTGTGCGTTTATTTCGCTTAAATACAATTTCGCTACATGTTTCGGCTTTTCATGAAGTCATCATCATCCATAAACTTAAATTACTGGGTTTATAATTTGTATATACATTCATATAATACAATTTTGTTTATTATTGTAATAAATTCCTTATGTTTATATGGGCGGTATCACAGTTACTTAATGTAGAAGGATTTATTGGTTAATTTATAATACCTTAATATTGACATAAGATAACTTTAGAATAAAATAAATACAATAATAAAATGTAATGCATATAAATTAAGGTTATATTATATATGTTTGGGGGGACCATTCAAATATGTGTCTAGGATTTTTTTAATTCTCTTAGTGGGGTTGGAGTTCAACTGGGTCCACTCGGCATGTCGGCCTCTGGTCGGCCTATTGCAGCCTGCCTCGGGTGATTATGATGAAAGAGAATTTGATGGAATGAAGTTTGGCAGGGGAAACCGAAGTATGCTGAGAAAACCCGCCCCAGCGGCATTCTGTCCAACACAGATCCCACTTGACCAGACCCAGGAAAGAACCCGGGACGCCGCAGTGGGTAACCAGCGACTAACCGCTTGAGCTATGGCGCGGCACTCTTTCTAGGATTCTAATGTGGGTAGGGAATTTATATTGGCCCTTTCTGTATTTGTACGTTCATGTATCTACATATTGCTGTATTACGCAAATTTCTATGTAAATGTGTCATATTGTGCGTAGCATCGGGTCGCAGCTCAGCTGCAGGAATCTGGCATAGTCGTGTGACGTTCCGTTTCGGTTACGGCAAAATTGCTACTGGTCCTCGCCAGCTCAGTCAATCCTGCATTCTGGCCCCGTTGAGAACCATGATCATATTTCTGATCTTCCCAAGACTTTTGCATGTTGAATAATGCGACTTCGTCTTCGACGAGAGGATGGTTCTGACTGCTGCCGGTCAGTACGAGTATATCTCTGCTGGGATACAAAGCCCTGTTGCTGGTGGTCGAGCAGCTAAATTGTTGCCAGACTTCGTCGGCACAATTACAGATACTGCACATCAGGCGACCATTTCGCCAATGTTGCCGCCCCCGTTGCTCTTCATGTCCCGTCATCTATGGGATGATTCCTCG